GCGAACCCCTTTCTCACAAACGATGCCATGGGGAGCATGAGTGGTATAACTCCAACATCTTGTGAGGAGGAGGTGGAAAAAGAAAATCTGACTGATCAGTGAGAGTGTAAGTTTAGGAGGATTAGAGTCGAGTCTTTCTACAGAGTGATTCAACATTGTACGTTCGGTTAATGTGCGTCTGCCTGCTGCGAAGACAGATTCAGTGTGGGTTCAAAATCATCAGTCATCGGTTTAGTGTTACAGAAAAATAATAATAAAGTACGTACATTCAGTGATACCAGTAAAGTTTGAAGTGGATAGTTCCGGATAGTGTAGTACTGTGCCGTGCCGTGCCGGGCCAGGGTACCAGACATTCTGGGCTGAAAAACATGCCTCCCTGCAGGCAGAGTATTAGGCAATGATAAAACAATACCCCGATGCCAATACGCAGAACAGGCTTGTGATATTGAGGATGTGGCCGGCCTCACACCTGCTGCGGTTGGTGAGTGCAGAATGGGCAGCAATAGTCAGCGCCTCCAATGACAATAGAGTCAACTATTGCAAGGCCCTCTCCGGAAAGACACTATTCAGTGCACTGTATGGAAATTATACAGCTACACCAAACGAGCCAAAGTCCGTGGTGAAGGCCAGCACCTCATGAACTAAAACTCTAGCCCAGGAGGAAGGCTTCAAAGAAGTCCGGAGGCGCAAACGACAGAGCACCACCGAGTCCGCCCCGACTTCAAAAAAAGCAGAGGCTGTCGCCGACAGCTCCCCTAAAACCGAGGTTGTCACCCGCAACTACTTCGCACCCCTCAGGGCGACAACAATGGAAACAGACACTTCTGGTGCCGAAGCCACTGCCCTGAAAGAGGAAGCCCCAAGTAAAGCAGGCAGGCCACCCCCCTTGCTAATACTAAAGTCCACGATCAACCTCATTCAGTTGCAAAGGCAACCGAGAAATGTGATCAAACGTGACAATGAGTTCCGCAATACCAAAATTGGAACCAGAGTCATCACCAAAAGCATGGCGGATTTCGAAACCGTCAAATGCCACCTCTCAGATAACAACTTATCCTATTACTCCTTCTTTCCCAAATCCCAAAAACCTATAAAGGCAGTAATCCGTCACCTCCCTCGCAATACCCCTGCAGAGGATATTTCTGACAGACTGGTGACCATGGGTTTTGACGTAGTTAATGTCAAACAGATGACTACTACCCACAGTTCACCATTCGAGGGAAAACAACAAGAAACCTTCCCCTATTCCTTATAACTAGGGCTCAGATTTCTATGACATGTCATATTCTTATCCTGGCATCTTTTCACATGTATAATTAAATATAAACGCATTTCTGACTCTTGTGAACATGAAAATACGGTTTTTATTGGTCATATAAATGCATATTTGAACCACATTTTAGCTTTAGGTCATATTTGGGCCCTAAGTGATATAAAATCATATTTTTGGTCATATTTTAGGCGAGTTTCACTTATTGCTCAGAAATATATTTGCAAGTATTGGCAACGATGTTATTTGGAACTTCATTTCTTAGAAATATTTGGCCTTGAGTAACGGGATTTGAAGAAATACTGTACAGTGTGAAGGGTAACGGTTCTTGACCTGGCGTAGGATCAGCCACTTTGAAAAGAGAAATTGCCACCTCTGCCTCTGTCTGTCTGTGTCTCTTTTTCTCCTCCAATGCAGTGATACCTGAAGTCCAGTTTGTTTCTTGCATATTGGTGAAAAATTTTTCCATCCACAAAGCGGTAAATTTCTACCCTCTCCCCGAAACCCGTCCAATACAGTACTGTATTCATAACTCCAGTTGTTCAGTATAGTTTCAAGACGCCTAAAGTCAAGCGCTCTAATAGTGTGAAGTTGCGTGGTTTTATTAAAGAGTTTGATGACAAATATTTAGTACTGAGGGAGAAATTTTATTTTGCAAAAATGTGTGAAGTGAAAGTTACGGCAGACAAACGTTTTACGGTGCAACAACACTGCAATACAGCTAAACATAGAAGCTGTGTAAACAGAGAAATTACCACGGAAAGTAGACAGCAATTGTTGTTTGAAAAGTCATCCTCCAGTTCACCGAAATCAGGAAATGCCTCCGAGTTTTCAAAGGATCTTTGTACTACTATGGTTTCATCAAATATTCCATCACATAAAGTAGATACACCTAGTTTCTGAAACTTCCTCGAAAATATACAACTCATCCCATTCTGACCGAATCCACATTAAGAACTATCTCACTTCCTGCTACGATGTTACCACCAATAACATAAGAAACTGTGTCGGAAATAATAAAATATTGCTAGTGACACACACGGCGGATTTTTCAGTGGCGGGGAGTTTACCGTCGCCGCCGTTCCAACAGNAAAAAAAAAACGATCGGTCAATTTGCCGTCAGCGGTAGCTGTGCTGCCGTCGGGTGCCACTGTACGCTGACGGAAGTTTTACCGTCGGGGTCTTTAAAAAACAGAAACCTTCAAGTACTGGCGTACGTGACTAAATGCACGTTTACACACATGGCTGTTTTTCTCCCGCTTAGTTAATTGCTCAGTGTGAGTTGAACTGAACTTCGTGTTCACAGTTTTCAATCAATATTATATTAGCATCAATAATAGTTTTTAGTGAACATGAGCGAGATTGTTGATAATGAAATTCTTTTTTCGTTAATACAAGAGAGGCCTGTTTTGTGGGATAAAACCCTCTAAATTTTCAAGGATAGAAATGCTACCAGAAACGCTTGGCATGAAGTTTGCCTTGGATTTCGATGCGACTTCGATCAGTTGGAAGAGAGAGAGAGAAATGATTTTGGTAAGTCCATATTTTCTCACATATAAGTACTAGAAAGTGTAGGGGTCGTTCTTTACTCGCACTGCCATTCATTTGTTTTTAAATTTAGACAACCATGATAGGCTATTATTAACGAATGTTTCATTTGTAAAATCAGGGCCGCCGCGTGATGGTGGAAAGGTTTTGCCTTGATGAAAAATTATGACAAGAAAAAAGTTTTAAGAATTTTTTTTAAATTTATTAGCATATTTACAATCTACTCTAAACAGCAACAGAGTAAATAAGTAAATGGTTGGACTTCGTTTTAGCCTGTAGTGATTACCATCCACTGATGGTATCCTTATATCTTTGACATCTGCCAGGGAACCATTCCTACACTTGAAACAAAATATCTACATAGAATATTTCTCACATTGTTTGCTATGAGGC